AAATGTAGGCCATACAAATATTTCTCCCGGCCCGGGAATCGAACCTGGGACCTCTGGGTGGCAATCCGGCATGGTAACTGTTCGGCCACGGAGGCAGTTAATACGTATAAGTGTTTAAGTCCAGTGTAGTTAGATTTAACATTAATTTAAAAATCTTAAAAGTAGACCTATATAATTTTTGGTTTTAATGTAATTAGTGTGATTGATGATGACCATAGAAAGGAATAGACACCTCAACTGCAAGGAAGTAATACCTATAGAGTCCATAATACCTCCGTCTAAAACTCGGAATTATTGTATATTACGAGCTTTGCTCGATGGTGTAATTTGAAGAAAAGTTTTATATTTCTAAATTTTGATTTTATTTCATGAAATTTTTCTTTTTTTGTATGTCTATTTATCCGAGTACTCCGACATTTGCGAACCGATTTCGATGTTTTTTTTTCTTGGGAAGGGAATAAGTAGTCGTTTGTTTTTGTATAAAATATTGCCTTCTATTATTATTTGTTCTAGAATTTTCGAGTGAGATATTTATCCGTTCCATATGTATTACTTGAAGTTTAGGTAGGCAACAGTCACTGGTTCAAATCCAGTCGGATCGAAGTATTTCTTTGGATGTGTTTGTTTTATCTTTGTATCAATAATAATAATAAAGTAGTGAAGGGTTACTGTACACTATCTATTCCCATGTCTCGGATAATAACAGATATGTATATGCTATTCTCCACGCGTAAGTCAGTGCTCGTTTCATTTAGCAACAGATTGCAAAATCACCGTGTCACCAAATGCCTTTGACCTTCGACGCGTGCGCACATTGATGCGTACACATGTTGTATTTAGAATAGGATATTTTTTATATAAGTAACACGAAGAAATGCAATCTCTGAAAAGAAATTGATCTCGTGTGTCATAGACATTTATGAATAAATTTAGGGTAACAGATGACAAGTTGATTTATTATTTACTACTAATAACATGCTTTGGAAATAAATGATTTATATGACCAATAAAATAATATTAGTGTTCAAACGAACCTACCACGATCAAATTGAAAACGTCCTAAAGAAAGACTGGTTAAGGGTACCCTTAAGCGATAATGTATGAAAGTATTAATGCATGTTGATGAGGTAAAAGATGTGTGTCAGCCAGGATCGTGGCATGTCGAAGGCTGTGGTCTCTGCCTACCTCAATGTGAAAAAGCCGTGCAGTGTTTGTGTGTATGGTCAAATGTGCGAATATCATTCAAAAATATTCCGAAAAAGAATGGATTTTAATCAAGTTAACCTATCAAGATTCTTGGTAAAATCAATCACGACGATATGATTAAATTCATTTCTTAATATCTACTATTGCTTTAGTCTTTGTGATTTATAGACGCAGACAGAAATCAATTACATTATCACCTTAAAAAAACCTTTTTTTTGTACTAAATAAATACGCATTAGACCTCATCTCACTTGATGGAAAGTGACGATGAGGTCGACGATGGAGCATGCACACCTAAATAATGCTAATGTGCTGTTTACTCTCGCCTTGAAAGGCCCAAGTTATAGCGTTCAGGAAATATGTCTACAGGCCATGAATTCAACTCAATTGCCGTTCACCGTATAAATGAAAAAGAGTAACGCTTCGTGCGAATCTTTGTAATATCCACAATAAAAGGGTGGAACCCCAGACTACGTCTAGTCCCCCGATGATGGAAAGGTGAAGGCTTTAAGTGAAGGAATGAAATCGTGCAAGCTTGTTTATTTCAATCACATTTTTTTTTCAGTGTAAAATACTTACAAGCATTAAAAATCAAGCGATAGATACGGCAATGTGTATTTTATGACCAATACTTGAAAAAGTTACGAAGCATCTTCCCACCGCTGACTTTCACCTTTAATAAGTGATTCGCTTCATTTATCAAAAAACTGACTTTCGAGTAATCTTTAGTATATTCAAGTTCACTGACATATTAATATAATGTGAGATCTTGTTTAGCTGTAAAGACTAGATAACTAGAACAAATACATGATAGGATGTAATGATGTCCTTTATGCCCAACACCCAACAATCTCTAGAAAAACACTGCTTTTTTATATTAATTTTATTATTTTAGTAGCAGTAGAGCTCCTTGTGAAAGAGTTCGTCCAGGGAAATACTGCCACCTTACCCATTTCTGCCACCAAACAGCAATAATGTCAGCATTACTGTGTTCCGGTTTTGAAGGGTAAGGGTGCTGGTGAAATTACAGGCACGTTGGACTTGTCAACTTATCTCTCAGGGTGACGGGCGCATTAGTAGTAGTAGGTATAGGGAATTCTAATAGTATAAAAGAAAATAGTATTGTGGAAAAGTAATAGATAGGGAATTCCAGACCTCAACTTTCAAATTGACATATCAAATACTAAACCTGATTGCTTTAATTTCGACAAGCAAGATTTGATATTTCAAATTCAACGTCGGATTGACTTTCAAGGTGGTGATGGGGCTGGTAATAATTTATTTACATGTTTTATATAGCTGTACTTCTAATTACAAGATTTTAACTTTATAAAACTGGCTTCACATTCTGGGTCGATTGAAGGACTGGCGGCTCACTTAAAACTAGTTATAAGAAACTAACCGCCTTATTACAAAACATGGTCTAAGTATAGTACCTGCTAGGATTAATACTAGGCTTAGAGCATGGACTAAATAAAACCTTATTATATAACAAATTAATATAACACTAAACCGTGGATTATCTTTGGTACTAAAGTTAAACTAAAATCAAATAAGTACCTGGAAAAGAATAATTTCATATATATGGAACCTAATATTATATGGTTACTATTTTAGTAAAAAAAACCGACCTCAAAAGTCATTCATCCCCTAGTTTGCCACCCTTGGAAGTGGAATATTTTCGTCAAATTTAAATGGGATTCCCAGACACTTCCCAGAGAAAAGGACCCTCTTTCCAACAAAAAGGAATCATCACAATCGGTTCACAAACCGGACAAAGCCGGAGTTATCGTGTAACATGCATACAAACAAAAACGTACAGTCGAATTGAGAACCTGCTCCTCTTTTTTAAAGTCGGTTAAAATATTAAAATTGAAGGTTGCCAGCAAGCACTGAATTAATTACTTTGGTTTAATGATACGTTACTATAGTGCAATTTTGGTACAATGTAATCTGATTATATTAAATATGTTTGTTGAGCACAGCCTACATTCGTCTTGGTTTTGTTTCGTACTTTCTAATGTTGCTATTTCTAATTCCAATTTGTTTAAATCTGCAATGTTAACGTTATATTTGTGTTCTACTGCAATCATTTCTTGCTGTTTTTTTTTAATCTGTACGACTTTGTATTTTTGGCTGATGGTTGATGATGATTTCTTTATTTCTGTAAAACCAAGCAGAAAATGGGTAATTTTATTTTGATAATGTAAAAAGTTATAGCGGAGTAATAAAAGTATATGTTAAAAGAGAAGACACTGAAAAAATCTAAAGAGATATGAAGAAATAACGAGGTCACATATTGCAGAAAGGAAAGTTTCACCATTTTTTATTTAATACGGTACAACTACAAATAACAAACTACAAGTTATACTTAGAACTATTACAAATGTAATAATATAAATCTAATGTCGAATTATAATTATGCACAACATTTATAGTTAGTAAATATTACAATTAAAAGAAAATGAACTAGAGTAGGTACAGTGTTGTTTTGAAGTATAAAATGCTACAGATAAAATGACACGGTGGGAACGTATGCTGTTGTACCTACTATTGCCACATCCTGTATAATGGTCTATTTTGTGAAACGTTGTTCTTTGCCGGTGGTAAGCTAAACAACTGTGGACGTTGTAAATGTTTACAATGTGCATGAAACGTTACGCTTCGTTTGTTTTATGCCTACTATCAGCAAAATTAAAACCTTCCCATATTATCGAGTTCTTAGGTTTTTGCGATTGTTACATATAGGAAATGAAACTATTTTTCCGGACTTAAATCGCGTACATTTGTTTTTTCAATAAACCTTCCCATATTGTAAAATAGTTTTGTTAGCAAACGGAGATTGTAGCTTCTTCTTCTTATCGTATCGACGGCATACATTATTTATTTTTGCGTCTCAGAGTTTAGCTGGGCTGATCACGTCATAAGTAGCCGCCACGTTGAACTGTGCGTGGGATATTTTTGCCATAGTAATGAAAGGATTTGCCAATCAACGTACTCGCCGATTGTTGTCTAGGGTGCGCCAGACGAACTACGAAAAGGAATCAGGAAGAAGGAGTCATTGCTGGAAGGCTCCTTTCTTGCACCCCTTTGTAAGAGATTGTAGCTAACCCCGTTCATTAATTTGTTGACCTTTTTCTATGTGTATAAATAATAGGGTCTAGCCGTTTAACGTCATTTGTCGTCGCTTGCACGAGAAATTATCCTTGATACGGTAAGTCGTCAACTTTGCTGATAGTACGCAAACATTTAAAAGTTATTTGTGAACCCTGAAATCGTCGAATTTAGTTCTTCAAAATTCCGCAGTATGGCATAACTTGTGTTCTTATTTGTGTCTAATTTGTGGTTGTACATTTTTAGTCTAGTCTACGATGTATAAGAACGTTTCTATAGGTACTTATTAGGTACTACATGAAGTCTGAGGAGATAGTGGAGTACGTCAGATGTAAAGCCAAGTACACCCTGAGAGTCGAGCGGTTAGTCCTGCCACAACGTGAATTTCAATTCGTTTGTGGTGAGAGTACCGACCGAACATCTGTCGACCTTCATGAAGGAAGAATGTTGACCGAAGGGTGTCATATATCGGCGATTCCGCGGTCGGTAACCTGACACCAGATTCCGCCACACGTCGCCGACAATTGCAACTAGTTAGACTATTTCTAACTAGTTGCAATTGTTTTATTATATTGTATGTATGTTAGTCCTTAAGGTGTATATTATATGGGTTATGTGGCCTGAACTAAATAAAATAAATAAATTGTTTAACTCAGAAATGTTTCTCTTTCGTATTTCAGGAGCTGAAGACCTTCTACATGACGTCAGTGACTCTGATATTTATAGTGGCAATGGTGCTTCAGTGGCCGCGACTAAAAGTGCCTTATCCCGTCAAAATGTGCATGTTTATTGGCTGGGCAGCTTATGGAGTAGTTCCTACCCTGCATTGGACGTATGCTATGGGAGGATTCGATAATCCCATGGTGCAGGTAAATACCTTTTTGATTATGATTCCATGTTATGTTATATAAAACGGTTATTTGCCCACTTCATCAAATGTCCATTTTAGATAGCACAAGGTACGAGCTCAAAACACTTAACGTGTCCGTCATAACGGAAACATGCACAGTTAAAATATTAGAATAGAATAGAATTCATTTATTACAACGGCACAACACAAAAATATACAGAAAGAAATAAAAAAAGATAAAGCAAAAGTAAAAAAAACAACGAAGCAAACGTAATCCAGTTTGAAACAGTAAACTCAATTTGAGTAAATGTCATGTGTGCGGCTGTGACGTATGTTAAAGGATCCACTCAGCTAATGTCACAGCCAAGTAAAGGCTGTGAAGCGAGTTTTTGTAACGATATTGTACATAACATTATGAACTTTATGATCAATTGTGTAACGTACAAACTAGATACGAGCCAAAATCTTCCGACGAATTCTCGCGCACGTAAATTCGCTTCCTTTCCGTTCCGTCGCAAAATAAATTGAGCCTAAGACCATTAAAAATTTCCATATTCTGAACATATCCCTTTTTTATGATATCCCATAAAGTGAGACAATAAATATTTCTGATTTCATGATATTGTTACATATCCGCATCTTTGTTAGCGGATGACAGATTTCTATTTTTACCTCCATAATATCACAATACTTTGCGTGTTAATTTAATTTCCATATTTTTCATGAGCCAACAAAGTTAGATGATATATATAATATATATATATATATATCTATCTATATATATATATACCATAATGATGAAAACCAGAAAGGTAACAGAAATGGCTTCTGTTTCGGCGTCCACAAAGAAGATCCAAAGAAGTCCACTAATAAAGAAAAATCTACTTACGTCATAGTACTGACCGATAATGACTATTGAAAATCACAAAACGTTTACCTTGCAGCACGAGCGTTCAGTTTAATACCATTTGCATAATATTGTTTACGGAATCAATCATTACTTATTGTTAACGCGTTGAATCGAACTGTTTAACGATTTGTCACATTAGAATAACAGAATAGGCTATTATTTTTTATTGGGCAAACAGTGATCTGGTTTCTCTGTACGTAGTTACAGAGGTCAAAGAGAATGATTCGTTTCGAAGTTGCATAAGTAGATATATCCAGCGCATAATAATCTTTCGTACGTACACGCATATCATCACGCCTGTCCCCCACGGGGTAAGGCAGAGACCATGAACTTGCACCCGCTACGCTCCTGAGAAATGCCCTTTTAACGACGAAAACGTTATTAAATAACATTAATTACTACATTTTACTACAAGAGAAGTAAATTTTTGCAGTAGAGTTCCTTGTGAAAGAGTGCGTGCTGCCACCTGAACTATTTCTGCCGCCAAGCAGTAATATGAGCATTACTGCGATTCGGCTTGGAAGGGTAACAGTGCTACTGGTGAAATTAGAGGCACATGGGACTTGTCAACTTAGGTCTCATGGTGACGGATGCAGTGGCAGTGCCCCTCAGATCTTTGCGACTCAAAACTCTGAGTGGCACAGCAATTGTTATGGGGACAGGCGTGTCGCTTACCACCAGGTATCACGCATGTCTTCTTCGTCCCGTCAAATGGTGTCAAAAAAGTGGGTTTTTTAAATGTATTTTTCCCAAGAAACTACAATACAATCCAAAATTGTTTATTGTACATTCTGTACACCAAAACGAAACAAATACAATACAATTAAATAAAAAAAGACTGGTACAATGGGAAAGCTTATCGCTTTAAGCGATTTCTGCCAGACAACCTTTGGATGGAAGTAATTATGTAAGTCACAGGAAAAACTACTTTCATAGAAAAAATATATTCAGGGAAAATATAATAATGTATTCATTATACATATATGTATATTCTCTAAAGTACTGTGAAAAAAATTCGGGATGGCTACATAAGACATCAAATTAAGTCATTAAGTCACAATTGAGGTGCCGGAATTCCGGTTCATATACTCCATTACGTGACTACTTCTACCAGTATTTCGTAGCTTGAGAAATTGCATGCGGTATCTTACAAAATGTTCTAGGAATAAATATCGCAGAACGTAATACGTTCTACTGTTGAGTTGCTGTAATAGTGACAGGTATATCGAATTTGTACTTAATATCATATCGTCTGCTTAAGGGTAAAAACACGTAAGTGACATTTTCCACAAAAATCTCCAAATTACGTACCCGTTGTAAGAAATTCACCATCTTTCTGCAGATAAAACTCTTGTTAAGTTTATAGATTTTTGTTATTGAGTTTCACGTGCAGAAAGATAGTGATTTTCTTACCATAGCTACACAAATTAAAGACTTTTGTGGAAAATGTCACATAAATAGTTTTACCTTTAAACAGACGATATGCTGTGTGGTACAAAACATAGGATGACCAAATATCTCAATTCAAATGATGTGACTTTTATGTTGTTTCAGATGTTCTTTCCTAGAGTAATAGGAATGTACGCCATCAGTGGCACAGCGTTCATCTTTTATGCATTCAAGGTAACTTCTACTTTTACGGTGTATATATAATATTACAGTTATTATTAAAATAATACGCTATTGCAAATGTAAATACAAATTACAACTCACTTTTTTTTATTAAAGTCATTTTTGTGTATTTGTTAATAGAATTCTTCCTTACGTTTCAGATCCCAGAACGATGGTTCCCGGGGAAAGTAGACTATTTGGGTCATTCGCACCAATGGTGGCACATTTTCGTTCTAGGGGCGTTGTACTACTGGCACAACTCAGCAATGATTTACGTACAATATCGCATGAACCACGGCTGCGCCAATAACATGCGGATATATTAAACTGTATTTGTGGTTAGGTTATAATAATTTTTATTTTAATCAATTCCAAATTCAAAAACAATTCCAATTGTCATGATATAGGAAAATTGTATTTAGCAAATTGTATTTTTTGACTGTATAGGCTACTGCGCGATAACGTTGGCGCCAAAAAGCGAGTCTAGCGCCAGCGAAGCTCAGAACTAGATAACGTCAATTTTTTGAGTTTTAACGACAATGATTTTGTTCTCTTGTCAATCTGTTTTATAACAATTATTAGACATCCCACCCCTCTGGAATTGTGGAATTCTCAAATACGGTACCTTAAACAGTGCCAGGACGCTATCGATTGCGTAGAACAGTTGTATGGCAATTTGTAGTTTTTCTTGTGACCGCTAGGGGCGCAGCACAATATGCTATAACACATTTCGATCCCTTACTTTCTCAAACTCGTATCTTATAAAGAGTGATTATTCAGGAGATGGCAAAACTTTCTATTTTAAATTACTTGTCAAGGGCGTTAATTGAATCAAGTAAAAGCCATTTTGTAAATATAAAGGAAATGTGATGTGAAATCTGCTTGCAAAATTTGTAGGTATATACATTCCATTTTTTTTTCATTTCAGTAGCTTTGTGTTTACGAGTTTGAGAAAGTAAGGCGACGATTTGTCAAATATTTTTAATGGTAGCTTTTGTGGCTATTGGCACTGTGAAACACATTGTAGAAGTACTAAATAAGGCAGAATGATCATTAAGTCGATAGAGCAATGACTTTACTGCAGAGAACTGATGGCTACAAAATATAGCAGAATTTACTGTAAGTGATTTCACTAAAATGTTTTCAATAGAAATTGACGTAAAAACAATTCATTGTATTCGAATTAAAATGTCGCTTCGTTTACTCACAAAATAGTTAACACGTGCATGTAAAACGACCCTTTCGCTATCTGCACACATTATCCTTCGTATGGTCCACGTACGAAGTCTCCCAGGACGCATTGTAGGATTTCAAGATGGCGCTGCGACTACATTCATAATCCTGCATTACGCGGCGGACTGCAATACAGGATAATTAATGCCCCCATAAACGCCTACTCAGTTTTATGACTCGTGTCACAGTGATTTAGCCAAGGACCAAAGCAATAAAAGCACCAATTCCTTCTGGAGGATATGGTCAAATTTTATGAGGCTATTTTTTTCATAAATAAGGTGTAATGCACATTCCAGATACAAATATTTTATTTAGCCTTGAATGTGTCCAAACGTTGCTATTTTCTAATATCACTTTTCTAATATCAAAAAATAACCGATAAAAATGTAACTTATTGGGCATAATTCTGTTAAAATAATCGTGCAAAATGATGCACTTCTATTGGTTTACCACATTAATTCTTTAGTAGAAAACATTTAACATTTAGACACATGCTTTTGCCTACCAAAACAGGAGATTTATTAAATAAAATTGAAATGTATAATATTACATAACAAATTTATTTTAATTTTTACGTAATTATTAGTAAAAAATAATATTACTTTATTGGCTTGCGATACAATAAAAAATAATGTGTGGAATGGGTATAGGAATCTATAAAGAACTATACTGCCCTCGTAACGAAAAAAGGCACAACTATGCGTATTTAACACAGCAGTAGAGTATATTGCCTATACTATTGCTATTATCAAATTAATTATGATTGTTATTTTTTATTGTCACTTATCTGTGATTAAACATCGATCCCATTTTATAATTTTTAACATTCTATTTTTTTAGTTGTTTTTTATATTGTTTTGGACTGGGGCTAAAAATAAAATGTTTTTATTTACTTCTTTGTTTTACTGAGCCTTGGTCTCATATCGCAATAAAATAATTAGGTAAAGGTAATAATAATATATTTTTTGATAGGTAATTGCTCTACAAAACGTTTATTTGTTACTCGCGCCATCTATATTTGAATAGTGGCTATGAAATAGTACCTCTACTACGCAATAGATGGCGCTGATATTAGATCTCTAAATACACGTTAGATGGCGGCATAAGTAAAATTTTAACGTTACTGAAGCTGTTAGCAGCCACATTAAAGAGCGTACGTTTTGTCGAATTTAAATGTTTTATATAAAATGCTTACATATTTAAAAATTACTATAAACACCAGACTTAACTAACTTACTACATTGTTAAACACAGTTATTTCTTAAAAGTAGGTATATTTTTCATATTTACCATTGCGTAAACCACTCAACTCAATAACTGTGCACTAAAAACAAACAACACCAATCATGGAAAATATTCGTATCGATATCATACAAAAATCCATTAGCCAAAAATAAAACTGATGCTGGGCTCTCGGGGAAACGTAATCAAACAAAATATTGATTTTACATACCAACGAACATGAATCTTTTTTTTAGTTATTGCATAAATGAATCTGTCGGTGCACACGATCGCTTTCGCGCAACGTTGAACACATGAGTTTATACAAAAGGACCGAGTGTAACTTGGGAGCTCCATTATTTTTATATAGAGCTTGTTTTTGTTTAAATACTCGTAATTATATAAATAGGTCAATAAAATTTAGTTTTTTTGGAACAATCTAGTCAGCGCCGGCGCTAGTTCATGTAGAACCCGGGTGCAATCAAACCTTGGCGCTGTCAAAAAATATATAGTAAAATTGAAAATATTATACACTGATTAGTACACGGTGTTAAAATAATATTCCTAAAAATTTTCACTATAGAAGCAAAATATAAACTTACCTCGAAATTTTACAAGAAAGCTGCTTAATAGGTACTTTACATATATCATTTTTTTTTTCATATGACTGAACTCAATTTTCAACTGAACTAAATAGAACACGTATACTATACGGTATACATTTTTGAATTGGTTTTAAATTCGTTTGTAAAAAAATTAATTCTGATATGAGTGTTCCTGCTGCTTGACCCGTGCTAAAGAACCGATTGAGTACGGGAAAAATTCTAATTTTAGCTAAGGTAGTATCAACCTTTAAATCCCTACTCCCGTGTGTGCCGCAGACCCTGCTCCATAGGCAAAGCCGACACCGAGTCTCATACATTTAAAGACAGATCTCGTAATTAGAACTTTCTTATTTCCTTGTTTGTCACGAAGTGTTGTGTTAGAAGATCGTCTAGTCGGGAGTGTTTCGGGGAAGTTAACTGTTAAGTTTTTTTAAGTTGTGCAGATAAGCTTGCTAATTACAATTACCTCTTGTATCAGTAAACAGAGAAAACGCTTAGAAACCGTTGTCGGAGACAATTCTCTACGAGCTTTTCATAGACATTTCAGAGAAATTTAATGTCTCCACAACACACATCGCACCTGTCTAGCGTTGTGGAATATGAATTACTGACAATAGATTTATGAAAATGTAATTTATGTTAAGAAAAATAGGAATTATTTTATGAAAAGATAGTGACAGACATAACATACGAGGAACAAAAATAAACTAAGTACCTGTTCTTGACAGTCGTCTTCACAAAGTTGCTTTCCCTTCTATTTCGTTTGATATTCAAAAAACTGTAATTAAACAATATTTATTATAATTATTAATACAAAGATCGAACACTCAGAAAAAATTCCTTCGACCCGGCCGGATTCGAACCGACGTCTTCTAGCTTACCGTACCAGACGCTATACCAACTAAGCCACGGAACGAACCATCGGACCTCACGAATTTTTGTATGTGCTTGCGTCGTGTCTTTGTATATGAATATCAATTCAATAAAAATTTAAAACAATCTTTATACTAAAGGTTATTTATTATGCAGCTTCTGCATACTTGGAAGACAAAAATCTGTCGTAGAGATCCGTCTAGCTCTTGCAGGTAGTCTCCGGTCAACGATGTTTGAAATAAATATTATAAATAAATTACAAATGTGTCCACAAAAGTTTATTGACACAGAGCAACCCTTAGAGTTTCTTGTTCTTTTCTCGTTGCTTTATGTTCACAAGAAAGATTAGCAAAGAGTGTTTCATGTTCATATCACGCGGGCTCATCACGTGCGAATTTTCAGAATACTTTTATCTCTTAACTGGGAGTTTTTTTAGTAGAAATCTGTCCCATAGCGGGCGCTCTACCTCCACGGAAAAGTGTGGAAGTGGCGAAAAAAATAAAGATAAACGGGCAATATATTCATTGCGCTGCGAGCGGACCGCTGTTGACTCAGTGTAGTGGAAAATATGCCGCTTTTGTCGCCTCGCAATCCATCCCATCGGATAACTGATGGACTGTTTAAAAAGAACCATCGGAAACGTACACTGTACTAATATGAAACGTGTACATTAACAGAATACTATCTCACACAAGACAACTAACATAGTACATGTATTATCTCAAAATTGCTTTAAGTTATATTAATATTACCTATTTAATTTCTAAGCGTCAGTGTTGTCCTGTCACTTTGAAATTAAATTGTTTACGAAAGACGTATATACAAATATAGCGAAATTTTGGAGATATAACATTAATATAACGCAATTTTTGAGATAATACTATGTTAGTTGTCAAGTGCGATCAATAGTTCTTGTTTTTTGAGTCGTACGAGAGTACCCTTAAGATTGAAAGGAAAATTTAAATTTACGAATTGAAAATAGCACTTTAAGTCCTTATCTTAGACTTTGATTTTTGAAAACGCAATATTAATTAAGACTTTCTGCGTAAAAGTGGTGTAACACCATTCATGGTGTTACATCTTCCATATGCATTGAAATGCATATAGAAGACGCGGGATTTCAAATTTGCCACATTAATTTTATACATAGTAGTCATACATAATTATTAAATGTTTTTTACACATGAAAATAGCGTCCAGATTACGTACTTTAGTATCATATACAGTATTATTGTAGAACAAAAATTTAATGCGAGTTACAAATGACCTACAATTATATGGACGTCGGGTCCGCGCTAAAAAGTGTTCGAACTTATAGGGCGTTAAAATCGTATACAGAGCGTCATTCACGCTTTAGTCTTCGTTTGTTCGACTGACAGCAAAGCAAGCAAAATTAGACAGTACTGCGATGACATTACAATTTAAATTGAACGTTTTAGCTTATTCATATTCCTTTACATGTCACTAGGTACGTTTAAATAGGTTGACTTAGGACATTTTTTTCGTGGTTTTTGTATTAGACCCTTTTCGTGGTTTTTGTATTAGACCCGTCGTCCATACATATAATTGTAAGTCAATGCGAGTTACACTACTTTTGTTCTGCTAGCCTTAATTATAGTTTTATTTTATACATTCATTTTACTATAGATTTTTTATGTATTAGTGTGTCAACAATTGCTTAATATATATGTATTCGTATGTACATTTGGTATAGTTAATTTATCAATGTAATTATTAAGTATGTAGTATTCAATTCCTTTATTTATTTATTTTTATTATCCAACTCAGCAGCTTAATTTTTATTGCCTCTCCCGATCGGAGACTGCGTCTGTTCCAAGTCGAGGCGCACATTTGCGATTCACAACTGGCCGATCGGAAATTTTTGACATTTCTAATCGGAACGTTAGTTGATTTAACTCACTAATTAGAAAGATATAGTAGGAATCAGGTTCATCTTCTCGCTCAGAAATACCATCTGATTTCGAGACTACCCGGTCGGATCAATTCAAAAAAATCAGCACGCAGGAAATCTCTTTATCGGATACGCTCGCTTTTGTACACTAACATTTTAAATGATTTGTTAAAGTACATAATTTGTTTTGTGGTATAGTAAACAGTTTACATACATTTACACAATTAGCAACGAAATTTTATTAGCATTTAACTGAAACATATCGCATGTAAAGTAAATTGAGTTGATTGTATCGAAGCCGAATCATAAGCGACGCAAATCTTATTAACCCGCCTATCTTAGAGTTGTACACATTGACAAAATAATGTCGATAATCGATAGATTCTACAGTCTTTATACTAGCAATATTAGTAACTAGGGATCAACATTGTACGTCTGCAGGAGAATAAATGAAATTGGTTGCATGTTGCTGAATATTTTTTTAAAAAAACAATGTTTTTTGTGTTAATTATGTTATAGTAGCAATAGAGCGCCTTGTGTAAGAGTTCATCCAGGGAAGTACTGCCACCTTGCCTATTTCTGCTGCCAAGCAGTAATGTCAGTATTACTGCGTTCCGGTTTTGAAGGGTTAAGTGTGCTGGTGAAATTACAGGTACAAGGGAATTGTCAAGTTGTGTCTCAGGGTAACAGGCGTAGTGGCAGTGCCCCTCAGATCTTTGCGATTTAAAGCTCTGAGTGGCACTGCAACTGCTATGAGACGTATAACTTACCACCAGGCACACGACTTGTTTGTCCCGTCACTTGATATTATAAAAAATTTAAAAAAAAACCATAAACAGGCCGGCTACACACTCGGTGTAAAGCATTTTAAAGTGATACTCGCCGACCATAGACATTTGCAAGCAACTAAGTGTAGGGATTTGGTATCGTAAGTGCAAAGCCGGTCGCGGAATTTAGATCTCCACGGCTTTACATAAAACACCAGTATTACTAACACGCCACGCGCTAGCATCGAGTAACATTTTTCTTAGCAGTCCAGTGGTGGGGCTACCGTGTGTGGTACCAGCGCTACATACTGTATCAATGTAATGTCGCGCTCGTGCCGCCGAAA